GCGGAAAGCATAGGGAGCTCAACAGGATGTTGAGATACTACCAGAACCGCACAAAGATCGATCTTGAGATTCTCGACGCCAACGAACTGGTTTCGAGAACCAGCGAGCAGGCACGACTTCTGGGCGTGGACTTCTTCTCAGTCTTCTCCCGAGGATCGCAATTCAAGGTAGAGTCGATCATGTTCAGAATTGCCAAACCAGAGAACTTCCTACTTGTTTCACCGAATCGCAAGCAAGTTGGTGGCCAGAACGCTCTGGAATGTCTACCACTTGTCATGGAGCCACAGAGCGCTTTCTATAATAGTCCTCTTCTGGTTCTTGACTTCCAGAGTTTATACCCGAGTGTCATGATCGCTTACAACTACTGTTATTCAACCTTCTTGGGACGAGTCACCGACTGGAGGGGTATGAACAAAATGGGTTTTACTGAGTATAAGCGCCAGAAAGGTCTTCTTGCCCTTCTGGAGGACTATATCAACATTGCTCCAAATGGTATGATGTATGCAAAGACAGAAATCCGCAAGTCACTTCTAGCCAAGATGCTGACTGAGATCCTGGAAACTCGAGTCATGGTGAAGAGTGGCATGAAGCAAGACAAGGATGATAAAACCCTGCAACAGCTTCTAAACAACAGACAGCTTGCTCTCAAACTGCTCGCCAACGTCACTTATGGTTACACTTCAGCGTCATTCTCCGGCCGTATGCCATGCTCCGAGATTGCGGACAGCATTGTACAAACCGGCAGAGAAACTCTTGAACGAGCGATTGCTTATATCCACTCTGTTGAGAAATGGGGCGCCGAAGTCGTCTATGGCGATACTGACAGTCTTTTCATCTATCTGAAGGGCCGAACAAAAGATGAGGCTTTCGATATTGGTAATGAGATTTCCAAGGCAATCACCGAAATGAACCCTCGACCCATCAAACTCAAATTTGAGAAAGTCTATCATCCCTGCGTTCTCCTCGCCAAGAAACGTTATGTCGGTTACAAATACGAGAGCAAAGATCAGGTGAAGCCCGAGTTCGATGCCAAGGGAATCGAGACTGTCCGTCGTGACGGTACACCCGCGGAGCAAAAGATCGAGGAAAAGGCCCTTCGTCTACTGTTCGAGACTGCAGATCTCAGTCAGGTCAAGGATTACTTCCAGAAGCAATGTCAGAAGATCATGCGCAACAATGTTTCGGTACAAGACTTTTGCTTTGCCAAAGAAGTGCGTCTGGGTACATACTCTGACAAAGGTGCACCACCTGCAGGAGCTCTCATCAGCACAAAGCGTATGCTTCAAGATGCTCGCGCAGAACCGCAATATGGTGAGAGAGTTCCATACGTTGTTATCACTGGTGCTCCAGGAGCGCGACTCATTGACCGATGCGTTGCGCCCGAGGAGCTTCTGAGTAACCCTCACTGGCAGCTCGATGCCGAATACTATATCTCGAAGAATTTGATTCCTCCTCTGGAGCGTATCTTCAACCTTGTGGGTGCAAACGTACGCCAGTGGTACGATGAGATGCCCAAGGTGCAGCGTATTTACCACGCAACTACGCTCGGTAAGAAGAAGACAACGCTTGAATCCTACATGAAATCCACAAATTGTCTCGTGTGTGGTCTCAGGTTCTCTCAGGAAGACAATGCTCTTTGTCCATCCTGCCGCAAGAACGTTCCCTCATCTCTTCTTACACTCCAGACACGACTCACAACCGAGGAACGTCGTCTTCAAGAAGTACTCTCGCTCTGTCGCAGCTGTTCTGGCCTCGGACCTATTGAGGACGTTCAGTGTGATAGCAAGGATTGCCCTGTGTTTTGGACACGCATGAGGCAGGCTAGCAAGACGAAGGGACAGCGCAATGCAAGTCAACCTGTGATACAGTCGTTGGTGGACAGTGTGGAGAAACTGTCATTGGAGTGGTGAGGATGGAGGATTTGTAAGTGATTATGTGTTAATGACGAGGTGGTATTGTGGTTTTGTACATGCATTACGAGGCGTTTGGATGATAGGGTTGAGTTGGATAATGCATGAAGATCATGGGATGCAGGTAACTACCCTGCAGTTTCACTTAGTTTTACTTTTATACACGATATCGACAACGGTTCATCGCTGAACTCGGACCTCATGAGTAAAACTGTAATTACAGCGGCTCCCTCGTACGGTACGGGTGTTGGTGCAATGGTTGTAGAGGGTTATCAGGTATTGCGTATCGTATACTGGCTACTTACGTCCCTTGAAAGTCTCATTTAATAGCTAAACAATCCCAATTCAATATTTAGACTTACATGGTTGTTTTGTGATTCAACCCATACTCTATATAACTTGACTGCCACTTCTGCCTTGTTTAAGCGTCGGAGAATTTCGACCGTAGATGATGTTGAAATCAGTTCAACATGTATTGGATATCGCGGTCCTGGAGCCGTGATTCCGGCGGAGCGGTTTACCGCATCGCGGCCCCACTTGTGATTCGTCCGAACCTGAAGGGGGCCGATTGAAGATTTTTGGTCAGTCCCATTCTTATTAGACAAAAACAACGGGCGCTTCTTGTCTCAAACAATTATTCATAGATACGAAGGTGCCAAAACTGACTCGATGGAAGCGAATCATGCAGATATGACAATAACATGTGCCTATATCGTCATTTAACCCCTTGTTGAGATCTAACTCGGACCCTCCGGAACTATTAGCTGCTGGTTAGCAAGCCAGGTTCGAAGGGCTTCGAGAGAGACCCCTGCCAACAGTAAGGGACCGAATAGTTCACGATAGCGGCCGCTGATCATCTTGCTGTTATCTGTAGCGTGAATGGCATGCATCAGAGCCTCTCTAGCCTCTCCAGCCAAGGTGAAGGAATCACATGTCTAGAACAGCTACGGATAGAGTTCCCCAACATTAATCTGTGCACTGATCCACAACTAGATCTCAGGTACAGGTACAGGTCAGACAATCACTGACATGTGAAGCAGACCGAGATCGAGAGCAAAGCTTAACGATCTAGATCAGGGACCAACTTGGCCAGCTCAACCTTGCTTGGATGGGTTGGTTTGCGCGGCGCCTCCACATTCCCGAAGCCCAAAGACAGCCAGCCACATGGCATCGCTGACTCTGATAAAACGACCGGAGCAAAATGTGAAAAAAGGAGACGGGGAGGGGCTGACCTGGATGAGACGAGACTAGGGCTTGGCTGGGCTCCAATGCGTTGCCAGCAAACCTCACCTCTCACCTATCTCCTCTGTATGACTCCTTGAGATAGATTGCGCGGTGTGAGGTGTGCCTGTACTGTACGATGCGTTGTACAATGTACAGTATCCGTAAGCTCGGCTCCAACGTGGAGAAAGGAACAAGTCATTTTTGGGGTCGCGTATGGTGTTTTGGTTAGCATTGACCCAAACATGAGTTAGCTGTCAGTGCCTAATCAAGCGCATACATACCTGTTGAGATAGAGCAAAAGGTAAGTAAAAAGGGACATCGATTTGCCACAAGGTACGACGTCTAGACCTTAGTAGCTCAGAGCTATTGATTTGAGTTGTAGAGACGTGAGTGTGCCTGAGTGAGGGCTGGCAAGATGGCAAAGACTGACCCCAAGACCCAATCAAAAGCTTCTAGATATCAGCCAGCTCCAAGCTAGAACGCTGAAGGGGCCGAACCGCAGTGGAGGTTGCCCTTGCAGTGGAAGACTGGATGCGTTCCGTGTGGTCTGGTGTCTGATGACTGCCAATCATGTAGATCAAGTGGCCAATATCGATGATGATCTGAGGCCAGGATGCGACCTTGACAAGCTTGACAATTCGACAACTGACAGCCAGGCACAGCTTTGAGGGATGCCAAACATGTCCTGAGGAATTCCGTAAGGCTCCAGGTCGTATCAAGCAAATTGTGATGAGGAACAAAGATTGTAGCCGATATTTGACTAACCTTATCTTGCTTCAAAAGGCGCATGAATGGAATCTTTCGAAATTCTATGGGTTCCAACCATAAGGTATCGATATTATGGATGTCGAACATTCCTTCTCCATAGGTACGAAACAGCTATTTGGCTGTAACACTGCCGAAGGATCAATCCATTGAACTAGGTAACTAACCCTGTACAAAGGGTCTTCTGAACTCTGTCCGCCTGCATAGAATCAGCAGCCAACCCATGCTGTGACTCCCCTGCCCCTGTCTGTCTCGCACATCAGCCAAGAGGAGCGTCGAGCATGAATCTCCGAGGGATGGCCGCAGAGAGACCGCCGAAGTCTGCTAGAAACAAGAAAGCGTATCAAAGTCTTGCACTACTGAGGTGGCTTAGTGACTCCATCCATGATATCAAATTGATGTAGATTCCTTGACAACTTTAACAAATGTTTGTTGATCATATCGTCCGTGTCCCCGTTGTTGGTCTTCCCGCCGGTCCGGTCTCTGCCGCAACGCCCCGTCCCTTGGTAACAACAGAAGCAAATTCACATACTAACAGGCGATTTTCGTCGGCTGAGACAGTGGAATGCTTGTAAAATCATATCAGTAGCAATACAGTAGTAATAGCCGTAATATCGCCACGAGCTGCAATCTAATCGACGGAACGCAGCTAATAAGTCGCCTACCGCCGAATCATGGCTTGCTTGTTCTGTGTAAGACCGAAATATGTCTGCAAGACACGGTCCATTTGGGGAAATGCACTCCCGTCTCGGTAGGTCACCGATTCCATTTCCAGCCATTCCAGCTCACGGAGGAGGGAAGGGCAACATTCAGCATCCGATCCAATTCAGCCAAATTGGATATCCATTACAGGGGGTCACACCAGGTGCTTCAGAAGTTCAATGCGCTGCACTACAGGGGGCCAACGCTGTAAGGCGAGCTGCCAGGCGCCGCCATGACCCATTCCTAGAGGAGACAAGAAAACTTTGAGACCTTTATCCAAAGTGACAAAAATAACTAATAACAACTCTGCTAAGCTCATACTAAGCTTACCTAAATACTTTTATCATTAAGAGTAGAGGTCCTAAGCTTTTTTGCTCTCTGAGGCCATTGGGCCCAATGGTGGCCTGCTACCACGTCTAGCACGTCCACTAGACAGCAACTTATTACCGGCAAGGCGACCCTCCCCACATCTTCCCTGGTCTTTTCGCGGCACGCGCACCTCCTTCCCCCCTCCCCGGGCAGCAAGAACGGATACTTTTGGGGGGTGGCAGGTACCGACCCGAACTTGGCTTTGGCGCAGGAACGAATCATCAATGTCACCGTCTTTTCTCTAATTTGCTCTTACCTCGTTTTGACTCATTTCCATATCCCATATGAACTTGCCATCTCTCCACCTCCAAATTTATTGCTCCTCTCTCCAATTTCTATCTTATGTCAATTTCGATATCATATAACAACACGCCTTTTTGCGCTACCTGAGCTTATCATCGCACAGCGCAAACAATACGTAGCCCTCCCACTCCCGCTACAACCTTCTTCAAGATAAAGGGTCCTGTGCCTTGCGCTTGGCGGGTCCCATTTGCGTCATACCTAGATCTCGAACTCGCCCAACATCCCTTGAATTAGGTCTCGGATTTGGTCTCACATTCCCTCTCGAGTCAGTAAAAAGGAAAGAGACAATCATAACATAAACCAATTCCTCTCACTTCGCCTTCCTCGACTTTTTCCAACCTCTAATTTCATTTCATCTCGACGACTTTAACGACCAGGAACGACTTGCATCAGCACCAAGTTTTAGGAAATCGACTAGAACAACTTCAAACGCCCTATGCCTTCCTAACGAAAAATCGATCCCACACTACTCCTCCGATTTATTCCACGCTCCACAGTGACAGACCTTCGGCACGCCTTCCATGATCATGGCTGCGAGGTTCACGCCCGAGGCTTTTCTGCCATCGGGCGCCTACGACTCTGATGTTGTTCTTTCCCTGAATAGCCATCTCCCTTATCGCAATACGTCCAGTATTCCGTCTCCGCCCAACTCGTATCCTCGAGCTGGAACCCTTCGTCATCAATATCCACAACACTATCTAAACCCATGTCAACCGCAAAACCAAGATTATAGCCAGAGTCAATTTCAACGCGGCCGAATACCCCCCGCGAGCACCCTGCTACTTCAGCACAAAGATTCATCTCCTCTCTCACTAGAGTCTTTAAGGGCAGCTCAATCTGTTCCGCCGAGTTATCGACCATTTCCTCAGCAGACCGAATCTTTCGACACTTTCGACGCTCGTCCCGCGACTGTATCTCCCACTCACGGAGGCCCGCCTCCCGTTCCAGAATTCCGCTTTCCGGCATCATCTACAGCTCCTCTGCCCAACGTTTCCTCGTCTTCCGGACTCGTTGGTGCATCCCTCTCAAGATCTGTTTCGGCAGACGCAGTGGCTGCCTCTCAATCATCAGTGCACGTGGTTCAACGCCTCGTGCAGCAGAACCAACTGATCCGTGAAGCCTGGGAAGCGGAGCGGAATCATCTCGAAGCTAATCGGCGACGAGCTGAAGAGGTCTATCAAGAAGAGCGGATCATCATGGATGAGGTCCGGGATAGCTGGGAGGCCGAGAAGGAGGGCATGGCCCGAGAAATCGAAGAACTCAGAGAACGCGTCCATCGACTTGAAGGAGAGAACAGTGCACTCAAGGCTGTCACAGCGCAGAGTATCCAGGTTACGGGCGTGGTATCGCCTCTCGCGAGTCAGCGTGGCGGAAGCGGTGAGGGCTCCATGGACAGTTCCTACTTCCAAGCTCCACCAGGACGACTCGCGTCAAGGGGACAAAATCCGACCATTCCAACTGGTCTGTCCATGTCCGATGCGTCATCTCTTCCACCTGGTCTTGATGGAGCATCTCGTCGACCTCACTATTTCCAGTCAAGCAGCGCTCGAGTATCTCCCACAACACAGCCCGAATCATCACCTTTTGTCCCCCTCGACCCCAGGATGCAGACACAGAACCCAGTGGCCAAGGACTTCCTATCGTCCCCTACAGAGGACGTGGTCACTCCTGTTCCAGTCATTGATGTTCAAGAAATTGACCCCAAGTTGGAAGGTATCCCACTCAAGGCCACTGCGGTCCAGAAGCCCACATTCGCCGCCGGTGCATCTCCTCCCGAAAACCCAGCATCCCCTGTAGCATCCCCTCCTGGTCCCGCCGCTCGAAGCCCAGAGCAGTCTCGACGCCCCACGAATGCCCGGGCCTCTTCTAAGGAATATACGTTGCAAGCTCTCTCTGCTGTCGAGTCTCGACGGCTAACAATGCATGCCGGCCATACACCCAATCATTCCCTGTCATTGTTCCCTAAAGTCAATCCGACTGACCCAGGTTCCATCATTGGCGAGGCCGTCACGCCTACCGTTGAGTCTGTCATCAATCTGGATGCAGCTGTGGTCGCGGAAGAGGAGAAGAATGACAGCCTATCGGTACCTGTGCAATCTGATAGGCGCGATTCCAAGGTGTCTTTTATATCTGTTACAGAAGAGCTTGACCCAAACGCACCAGATCTCATGATGGAACCTAGTGGCGGCGACAAAGCTCTCAAGGGACCACTGATGTTAAGAAACATGCCAGCCAAAGATGAGCTCTTTTTTGAAAAACTGCACGAAGCACTGGAGCCTATAAGCCAAGGACAAAATGCTCTCCCGGCTGTGATGCAAGGTCATGGGCTGGGATCTATTGCTGGTCCATCTGGCTCCAATGCTCCCACGCATATGTCTAAACAGGCCGGTCCAGTCGGCGGGGATGGATCTGCTGACGCCCAGCGAGATGCCGATGATAGTGACGGCGAAGGCAGTGGCAAGGCTATTGAAATTGACGTTCCTCTAAAGTTGAAGAGCACGTCCAACTTTGGTGCCCCTTTTGGTGCCATGTAGGACGGCATCCAAGGAGCCACAAGTTATCGAGCCTGCAGCTCGAGCTTGTGCAACCAGGTTCCACCGTCTTCGCCGCAAGATTTGGAGCGTTCTCAAGCATCCCCTTGACGTCTTACTCACGATGATGAAATGTTTTCGCGTTGAATGCCTATTGAGCGGTCTTGAACGCACGTCACGATTTATATGTCTGTCGAATTTGCGAACTGTCTTTTCACCTCGGGTTGAGTTTTCAATCAGGTTCAACGGCAAGCGAGCGCACATGCGGTTTTATGGGACAAGGGATAAAAAAAGGATGCACATTTATAGAACAGGAGTATAGGGGGACTGGTTATTATACCTTTTGCGTTTTGTTTTATTGGGAATCGCGGATTCTACAACATTATTGTCGCAATAGCGGTAAACAGTGACGCGTTTATGAGCTTATGACAGGAAGGCAGGCTCACTTGGAATTGTTTTATGCAAGTTGGAACATTGGTGGAGGTCTGTGTTTGAATACCCTGAATGATAGGAAGTCAGTGTCGGAATCGGATGGAGGACTTGGGCGAAAATGGGAAGATGGGAGTTGAGGATACATTCACCAGTAGATATTAAGGAAATCGCCTGTGGGCAGTAAGGCATTCTTTTTTGATCGGTTCGGTATCTCTGCTGTGACTTGTTTTTCACAATCTTCCTTGATGGCCCCTTTTGTTCAAAGCCTCGACCAATGTTCTCATCTTCTCTGAGTCATGACATACATAGTACCGCATGTCAAGTTGTATATCATCAAAACATTAAAAGGGTGACAGTCATCAGGCTGACACATTCAAGTAAGTAGGCATACTGTAGATACCGTTCCGTGTATTCATGCTGGAAGTAAAAGAATCTACACTGTCTGAATACAGTCGCTACCATAGAAGATCTTAACAATCGAACACCGTCAACGCCTATTCTCCTGATATAGTGATTCCCAATCCATAATTTCTTGACCATCTGTATCTCTTGATCACAAATCTAATCTTGGTCATTGTTTCACCTGATTAGACACCCATGGTGAAATCGTGCTCGATACCAGGTGTCACACTGGCCATGAACTAGAAATAAGGTTAGGAAATGGAGAATAATTCCACGCAACATGGATAGACGCACCTTGAGGAACACAACTAGGTACTGATCCACTCGGATAGCAACCTCTTGATCATCGATCTCGGTCTCCTGGACCTCCTCCCACTCATCCTTGTCCGCTGCTTCCTGAGCGCCCTTAACATCCAACTTTCCAATCTCATCTACCAGACCTTCCATGCCAGAGGGTGTCTGGCTGTTACCGGCACGAAGCTTCTCACGACGCAGGCGAAGAGCGGCGTCGGCACGGTCGAGTAGTGTCTTCATGACTGAGGCGTGCTTGCAAGGATGTACTGAAGCCATCTTGATGTTGTTGGCGAAGAAGGGGAAGTCCTCAAGTGTCACTGTCTTGTCCTTGTAGTCGCCGACAATGTCCTCCGTCATGTCGTTAGGGGGGAGCGGCTGACCGCTGGCAAGATAGCCTGAGAGATACAGACGGGGTGTTCGGTAGTAGGGGGAGTACATGATGTAGAGAGTGTATGTACGGTGAGCGCTGCTAGTTGTTAGTAATCTTCCTGAAACGCAAACTGCGTTGCATACCTGTTCTTGGAATCGGCGCTAGAATCACGGATGATAGCCTCATCGTCGTCTTCATCCTCCATGTCTGGGATCTCATCATCATCCTCGACAACCTCTCGATCACCGACATTTCCGGAATCATCCACCGTCCTCACCTCCTTGACCTTCAGCGGCTGGGAACTAGCCAGACCACCGGTCCTCAGCCAACCATCCTCGTCGTCGCCAGTAGCGCCCTTGAAGTCGTCGCCATCGTTCACAAGAGCTTCCTCATGGCCTGCATCACCCGCAAAGTCGTCGTTTAGGCGTCGGTGGCAGGGAACGTTGCGTGTCACGAGGAACTGCTTTCCGGGAGGAAGATGGCTCACTCGCTGCTCAGGAGAGTCGGCATCGCCCCAAGACCAGGTCGGGAACTTGTACACAAGGTAGTCGCCCGCAGCGAGGAACTCTTCTGGTGTGATTTGACCGGTCTGGCGGAAGGTTGACTTGTGAGAGACGGGTGTATAACGATCCCGTAGGGTGTTGACTGTGGAGTAGATGTAATTCATGATGGCTTCGTTTCGTCTCGGTTCGCTCGTTCGATAGATATGATGTCTGTTGATGTTCAAGAAGTCGGAAAGATAAGCTTGTCGTAGAGTAGACTCAGACGCTGTATCACTGAAAGGATGCGGGGTTGAGATTCTGTATAAGCTTGTTGGTGGAGGGATACAAAGAAGTCAAAGTTCAAAAGAATAAAAAAGTCTTTAGAATACTTTGTCGTTTCTCCGTCACGTCTGCCTGAAAAGAGAGGGAGAATGACTGATAAAGAAAGACAAATATGTTGAGCTGCCTGAGTAATAGACTTCACTGGTGAGGCAATCACATGGAGGTGTATGCCTGGACCCCTCATTGGCCGTGACGTGGGGGACAGCCACTCAGAGTCGGGGGAGCTCGACTGAAGCGGGTACGGAGCTGGGCTTATCTTATCAGCATGCACGTCATCTTCCAGAAGCTTTGCTCACGTGTATACCATGAGCGTCTCCTAGGAAGATGAGAGTAAGTCTGGTGCTTGGATCACAAGGACAAGAGAAGCAGAATTAGCCATGGTCAGTAAATTTGTATAAAGTGATCAAGTGCTCCATTCGGGATATCGTGGTATCTTTTCTTCTTCAAAACGGTTTTTTAGAAATACATGTCTAAGCCCAAGCCCAAGCCCAATGCTCATGGCTCCTCTTCGGCCTCTTCCTCTTCCTTCTTCTTCTTGTCTTCGCGTTCTTTCTTTTTCTCTAATAACTTCTTCAGCTTCTTGGCTGAATTGAATACGCCGTTTGTGCCAGCTCCACATGATGCGCACGTTGGGTCCTTTCTGTATCTCTTGAGAGCACATGGCTCACAAAAGTAGTGTCCGCACCTCGTCTGAATAGGTTCCCTATAAGGCCCCTCGCAGATGATACATGCGAAAGGAATCTTCTCCAACATAGCAATCTCTGCCTCGTCTTCCGCCTTCTCCTCCTTTTTGTCGCGGTTAGCGCTCGCGATGATGGTACCTCCTAGGTTCTTCTTCCCCCTGGTAACTTCTTCCCATTCTTTATCGAGCTGCCAGCCTTGCTTTACGTCCGTTCTATCGTGTAAGTAGATGCAAGAGTCGCCAAAGCCACAGTGGCCGGTCTTTTTGTAATCTTTGCAGATATCTGGCTTGAAGTCCATGATGGTGATGGTGCGAACATTTGAGGAGGCCTTGACGGGACCCTTCGCTCTGTTGGGCGCATCGGGGTTCTTTTGGATGAAAGTCGTCTGATTTGCGAGTCCTTTATATGTTCCATCTGGTTGTGAATCCTTTGTAGCAGTTCTTGTTGAGCCTAGGAGGTTCTTTGCTGATAGCGCATCCTGAGAGTCTTCATCGTACCAGTTGCTGTGTTTTGTCGCGTCATTGGTACTTGTGATGGGCACATTGCGGTCTGCTGTATAAACCGTCGCTTGAAGATCCGTCTTCCCTGTTGCCAAGTCTTTTGAGGATGCTGTGACGGTGACAGTCTTCTTGCGCCGCTTAACGCGCTGTCCCGACTCGTCTTCTGATGATGAATAGTCGCTATCGTCACTATCGGCGGGAGGTGGCGTCGCTGGTCGTTTTCGCAGGTTTGCTTTGCCCTTTGCGCCTCGCTTCTTGAATACTGGGGCAGACGCTTGTGGTTCTGTTGTTGAATCGGCCATCTTTGTGGTTCTTGGTGGTCAATTTAGAAGTGACGGGTGTGGGTTTTAAATGCGACCGTTGCAGATTGGAAATCAAACTTTCTTGACTACCTACAAGATGGAGGGATCTAGAAATGATCATGTGACTGCGCGTAGCGTTGGTGTCAGAGTCGGGAGCCAGTCAAATATGAATCATGACATTTGGCAATTGTCAGGTATTTCTTCTTGGCCTTGATATGATGTCTCCATCAGACCTCAATTATCGCATTTTCTTTCAATGGCGCTGTTTTGGCGGGAAAAGAATCCATCCGCGTTGAGACTAGATCCTATCCATCCGTGGGTCACCATCCAGAATGCACGTACCCCATATCGTTCAGTATCACGAGAATATGATCTATCAATCGTTAGTGGCACCTCAAATTGGCGCTCTTCTTTTGTCGTAAGCCTCGATGTGTTCTCTTGCATATATAAATCTCTCTCGTCGGCTGCCCTTGGGCATTTTCGAATTACCATAACTTCAGGAACGCCTCCCATAATACACAAACACCATATATATCGCCTCTTGGCATCATCCAGGATGACCATCTCGCCATGATCCGATAAATAAATGCTCAACAAGGATAATTGGATCTCCTTTATCATGAGTGTGTTCTTGAGGCAGCCATCCAAAGCTATCCTTTGGCAGGACAAGGACATCACCAATCAACCGAGGCTCTTCAAGTCTATCTAGTTCATCTCCGGTATGTTCCACACCTGTGGACTCCTTGAAGTAGTCCATGAGAACTTTTGTGAAAGCAAAGGGTCCAGTAGTGGACATGACATCTTCGAAAGAAACTGCCTCCCCGGGCTGTTTGGACTCAAGAAGTTTCTTGAGATCCTCTGCCACTTGGTTCACAAGCGTCTTGATGGCAGGATGGTTTGGCTTGGCCAACACCGAATATTGGCATAACTGCACAGAGTATGGGGAGCCAGGCCAGATGGGCTGTTTGTGGTGGTCATTCTCTATTCCAACGACCAGATTTACTGAGCCCTGAAACTGTTTCGGGATCCATTTTGATACTGGCTGATGGGGGAATACGTCGATATCAGCCCATACACCACCGTCACGCAGCAGTATCAGATATCTCAAGAAATCGGCCTTCAGAATTGGGTCCTGCAGGCTTGTGAAGACGTCGGAAATGTTGGCATCAAATCTATCGCGAACATAGGCGTCATTGTTGGCGTCAGTAATGCGCTCGTACCGCCAATCTGGATTGACTGCACGCCATTGATGTGGAAAGCCAACTGTTCGATCAGTCGGATTCTCTGAGTCATCTTTCCAACTTTGCCATATCTTGTGTGGAAAAGGCTCCTGTTGCAGAGTGACGGGAGCCGTAGGCAATGCATCTTGTTCAGGCAGCCTACTTGCTATTATGTGCATTAGCAAACAATCCAGGCTGAGGGTTTGCGAACAACTAACGTCTTATCCTGCCACTATATGCGTAGTTGACAGTCAAAAAGATGACGATCACGGCGGCTATCGACGCAGTGTAGACATACTTTCGGTGCGCAAAAGCCGGTGACAACATCGTGGCCAGACTGAATTCAATGAGTTGAAGGGAGTTGAAGCGACATGATGCGATCAGCTTCGGGCAGAATTACAATAAGACAATTTCAGCCCTGTCACCATTAACTGCGGCGATGGATGGACCCCTGAATCGGTGTGGGGCCGAGTCTCCGGCCGTGTCGGGATACAGTGTCGAACAGCCAATTATCAATCCTCTTTTACCGCCTGGTATAGGAAACCATTTAACCACAACTGTCTTCAACCAACACACCAGTGAGAGTTCACGATATGGTCTCATGTGGAATCTACAACCAACACAACTTCAGCCCTCGTTAGAGATGTCCCCAAAATCAAGCGATGGTCGGGACAATTCCTTGGGACGATAACTGCTGGCTCAGCCAGCGAGCATCTATTTCTGTACAGCACATGGTTCTTAGACCAACGGCTTCGTGCAGCTTCTCATACACTCCCTGGAACTGCCAAGGTTGGTGCAACCAACAGTTCCAAAGACGAATTGTCGCATGAGTCTAATCTCTAGTCTGTTGGGTCGCTCTTCAGCTTTCTCTCCGTCCTTTCTACTCAGTTTTCCCTCGAAACTCTGTGCTTCTTTTTCCTGCATAGTACACACACTTCTCTGTACTGTTGTGCAAGTTAATTATCAAGATGAAAAGGCTCATCCTTTCTCTTCTGTTTCTTTCCTTCTCACAATTGTGTTTCGCCGCCAACAAGTGTTACTATCCCAATGGCCTCGAAGCCGAAGACCGTCCTTGTGATCCCAATGCAAAGCAGAGCGTCTGTTGCTCTGGAGGCCTAGGAACAGTATGTCTATCGAACAAATTATGCATAGGGGGCAATGGAAATACCGTGCGAGGTTCATGTACGGATAAGAATTGGGAATCGCCCGAGTGTGCAATGTTCTGCCTGGGTTGGTGACGATCATGCAAAAGATATCGCACAGTTATACTTACTCTTTCCAGGCGCTGACACGGGAGGGACTGACCTAATATCATGCTCCAACATTACAAGCACTGACACATCTTATTGTTGTGACCACAACGCCAACTGTTGCAACAGTGGCGTCGGCAGATTCAATGTACTCCCATCTGACCCCGAAGTTTGGGCGACATGGAACCGAAAGGCGACTCGATATGACATTGTTGGTACAGTGTTTAGTGGCCAGTCCACGACCGAAACCGCATCGGCAACAACGGACGTCACATCTTCTACGGCATCTGCTTCTTTCACCACGACAAGCGACGCATCCATGCCGTCCAGTTCTGTGCCGGATACACCAGAGCCATCCGAAACACCCGCAGGGCTTTCCACCGGTGCAAAGGCGGGAATCGGGGCTGGTGTTGGTGTCGGAGCTATCATGGCTGTGGCTGTTATATATCTCTTTTGGAAAATGCGCAGAAACGACAAGGCTGCCAAGCAGGGCGAGCAGCAACCACCTTCGAATGACAACCCGATGACGGATGCTTGGCAACAATCTCAGTACATGTATGCTTCGAAGGGGTATCAATATCAGCCTCAATCTCTGCAAGAGCTATCTGGAACTCCGTTGCAGGGCTATAATGGGCCGGCTGAGTTGCCAGCACATAACTGACGTCCGTGGATTTTGTTGTCTCATGTCCAGGGTGATGGGAGCTCCGGCTGGGCCCGTGTATATAGCATTAGATTACGCTTGAAGCATTAAATATGTAGCATAATATCATTAGAGTTGACGATATTCCTGGCAGAGCATGTTGAGATTGATAATTCACCTAGTGCTTTGCAGGGTGTGCAAAGAGGAAGTGAATTTCAGGTTACCTATCTCAACTTGAACCTAGGGAATATTGCATGACCGTCCATCAAGCAAAATTTGCATCCTGTATGTAAGTAGGGTCTTTGCACAGACCTTGAGTTTCTAACACTTAGACCCTGACTTTCGCACGAAGTCATGGACAGCCTCACTGAGGGCAAGTATGTACCTAACCAGGCATGGGAAATCCTGTGACCAAGAGGCATGTTTTTACCCAAAGCTATTGTACTATTCGTAGTCTGTCTGGGAGCCTGAATGAATTGTGTGATTCTATGTGCTGATATTTTCGACGACCATGTCGAAGTTGCTACCCTGTATCCACGCATTTGAAGCTCGGAAAATCTAACGTCAGTCCTTGAACTGAAGATTAAACCGAACCGAGGTAGACGAATTGGTTTATGCCTAAGTACTGGGACTTATCGCCGTCTGGCTACTACGTAGTTGCTTATATGATAACAACTGCCGCAGTGTTTGTTGATGTCTTCGTTTGACGTAACAGATGCTACCTCAACACATTGTCACAGAAACATAAATGACACGTAGAGTACTCACTCGCTCCATTGCCCAACAATGGCCTCTCTTACATCAGAAACCCCTTTCTCCCGCAGGATACATGAACTAAGGTATGATTCACCAGCAGAGGCCATCGTCAAAGCAGTGCATGGAAGCGATATTGAGATGTGAGGCTTAGTTCTGACGTGTCTGTAGAGGAGTTGCCCACAGAGCTGCAATTGGCCAAGACGCCAAACGATAGCTTAAAACCAATGCATGTCGTAGACTCGTATCAACCAAACGGAGCTGAGAATTGCGTAGACAGAATGATCCAATGCAGGCAAACGAAAACCTTCTTTTGGTTTCTGCTATTTTATTTTTGGACACGGTCTGGATCGATCGCGGGCAGCTCCAAATCCAGATCTGATCAAGCAAGCATCACATCACATCACATCTCATCTCATCTGTTGGGAAAAGCAACCGACAGAGGGCAAAAGTGAAAGCCTGCAAGGCCAATAAGTTACTCAATCGTCTCCGCTAACTAACAAGGTTTGGCAGCTAAGCGTAATTGGCTGAGGAGAGACCCTGGTCAAGGACAACCTTGGCAGTGAAATGAGATGAATGAGGGTGTTTATGCGGACCGTTGGAGAAATCTGGGCGCTCATTGGATTTTCGTTTTTGTGCGCATCTTGCTGATGATGTGATGACGGCATGTGATACCAGATAATCAATTCCTGGTGGTGGTTGGTGATGGTGTCGTGTTGTTGACTTTTTGGAGGTAACCAAAAGTCAATATCACGAATCGCGCCATGTTGTTTGTTTGTTTTCAACCATTCTAGGCTACTCTCCTCGAGCTTCACGACCGCTACTGCATGCACATGCAGGCTAATCATGCCCTACCCATTACTATCGTTTGCATAAACCCCGCAGCCTTGCTCCAGATGACACCTCGAGAGTAGCAATGCATCTTGAGCTCATTGCTGCAGAGACATGTTGAGTAAACAAGGAAAATGCCTACAATTGAGTTCCAACACCGGATGATCACTGAAGATTTTGGCTCGTGCTGATGAGTTGGCAGCTCTGCTAGCGGCATTGAATTATTCGATGGACGGGCTGGAAGCTCAGTCTTTGACGTGAGGCGTTTGCCTAACGGCGACTAAAGAAAGCGTGGCAGCTCTTTTA